TCCTTGAACTTCCCCACCAAGTCTTCAGTTTAAGGTTAAACAAGTCTAGTAAAAACTGAAGTGTCAATGGCCATAGTGGTTAAATGTCTTCACATTCCTGTGTAACGTTTATATTTTAGCAAAATAAATGATAGCATTTGTATTTTAATAAAGCATGATAGCTCAGAATAGTGGAACACTATCCATCCAAATAGGATATTATATTGTAAAAGAATATTTAAAAGGAATTATCTATGTTTGTTTATTAATATGGAAAAGCACCTGTAACCCATTGTTGAGTAAAAAGCAGATTATAAGCATATAATTTGGTGTGATCACTTTTATTTAACTGTGTGTGTGTGTGTGTGTGTGTGTGTGTGTGTAATGAGTACCTAGAAATTCATGAGTGTGGTTACCTCTGTTCTGTGAGACTGTGAGACTGGTTTACTTGACACTTTATTCCTTAAACCTTTCTGTATTGTTTGAATTTTCTAAATGGCTATGTATTGGCTTTATAATTAATGTATTTGCTGGGTTGTACTTGAGAATCACAACCACAAAAACACAGGGAGTCATATGCTCCCAATGTTGTTTCAGGAATGAGTTAGGAATTGACTAGCTCACTAGTTTTTGTGATTCGTGTAGCAAACTTTTCATGAATGCTTACACATGCAAGATGATTCCAACATACCTCCTACCCTCTGCTTTTAGGGCAATAAGCTTCATATATAACTAATTGCAATGAGAGTGATAATTATGACACAGTAACAGGTTCCATGTTTGTGTGAACCAGGCACTGTGCTAGTTCACACAAACACGCTCATCTCTAATCCACACTACACAAGTGGAGGGGGCACATGAGCCCTGCTACCCAAACGAGTATTGGGTACCACTTTACACAAACAGGTGCCTGATATGCTCCACAAATGCTTAAGAAAGGTGTCTTTGGCCTGTGATACTAGAGAAGGCTTCATACTTGTACAAGAGGTAGCCTTCAGCTAAGCCTGGAAAGAGGTTGGCATTTGACCTTTGTTGACGGAGAGAAGAGAATTCCAGGTCAAAAGTAATCCAAGAGAAGGTGCAGAGCAGAGGCAATCGTTAAATCTGGTGGCTGGACCATTTGTTAGAATCGTTGGGGAGACTTTCAAATGAGATGTGCTTGACTGGGAGCCCACTGAAGAGAGGGCTTTGAGTGCCAGGTTTAGGAGACAAATCTAAATCCTTGCAATCCATAATCTGAGCTGTATGCTTCAGACAGCGGGATTTGTGACAGGTGGTGGAAGGTTGCCACCCAGAAAAGAAACACTTTCTGGCTACTCACTTCAGTGCACAGAACTGATGGCCCTTCTTCAAAATGTTCCTGTTATCTTATTGGCCGGCATTGACTAGTGTGGAAACAATCTCATTCCTTTTACCATAGCATCTTCATTGAGAAGAGAATGAAAGCATGAAATGAGAGCAGTCTTAACCTTTTACTTGGTACCATGTCATCCGTCATAGTGTTTGACTGCCCTCTTGTGGCCATTTCCTGCATTCTACTGCAGCATCATGTTTACTTCTTTGGGAGGGGGGGTATTTTTATAAAGTTATTATCAAATGTACACTTAATGCATCATGGTGCCACTTTATCATGTTTTCTTTTATATCTTTACTATTGAAAGCATTACAGATGTGCCCCCTTCCTCCCCCCATTGCCTTCCTCCACCGGGATCCTGCCTGCCCCATTGTCTGTGTCCATGGGTATATGCATATAAGTTCTTTGGTTAATCTCTTCCCCCTCCCCTCCCCACTTCCCTCTGAGATTCATCAGTCTGTTCTATGTTCCCATGCCTCTGGTTTTATTTTGTTCATTATTTAATTTATTTTGTTCATTAGATTCCTTGTTCGTTATTTTGATATTTAGATTCAATTGTTGAAAAATATGTATTTATTTCTATTTTATTATTCATATTGCCTCCCTCCTCCTCCTCCTTCTTCTTCTTTTCAAGAAGACCCTTTAACATTTCTTGTAATACTGATTTGGTGGTAATGAACCCCTTCAGCATTTCATATAATACTGGTTTGGTGGTGATGAACTCCTTTAGCTTTTTCTTGTCTATGGAGCCCTTTATCTGACCTTCAATTCTAAATGATAGCTTTGCTGGGTAGAATAACCTTGGTTGCAGGTCCTTGCTTTTTATCACTTTGGATATTCCTTGCCACTCCCTTCTGGCCTGCAAAGTTTCTGTTAAGAAATCAGTTTGTTTATTTCTAAAGCCAGAGCTTTATGTAAAAGCTGATGTATATCCAAATATCATCAGCTCTTTGTGTGGTCTTTTCAAGCACCCAATTTCATGGATGACTTATCAATATCACTCATGGGTCCATGGGATGCTGGAGATGAGTGTAATCATAGGAAAGCTATATTCAACACCACCCCATATGCTGTAGGTGGATATCTCCTTTAACCCCAGAGCAGCTCTACATAGCAGCTTCTATTATTATCCTTCTTCTAGAAGTGAGGAAACTGAGGCCTACGGAGGTTAAGTGATTTCCGCAAGGTGGCAAGGTCCCAAATCTCCAAATGTACTATTTTTGGAGCCAGCCCTTTTAATCACTTGAAAGACCTTACAGAGTATATAAAGGGGACTACATGCGAATGTGTGTGCGCGCGCGTGCGCACACACCCGCCAAATAAAATCAAATAATACAGAGTGCTTATTGAAATGATTCCAGGGGAGGTCCTGAAGATAGTCACAAATAACTTCAGAAGAGACTCGAGGCTTTCAGAGAGTAGGTAATGGCTTCTTGAGGGAGCCAGTGGAATTTAGTGGAATTTCGGGGGGGAGGGGGAGTACAGGATGCAAGTAGCCAAGGACAAGATCTGGACTCAGAATAATGGTGTGAGAAACAAGGAGTGTGGGGCATCGAGGAAGCAGTGGGAAAAGAGGCTGGAATACTACAGAGGGAGAGGAAACGAACATCTTGAAAGGCCTTGGATACATGTGATAAATTTAATGACATGATCATTGTTCATGAAAAAGATGAAGCTCCCCATATAATGAGTGATCAGTCGCTCACTATTAACTTTCCTACCAAAAGGCAGTCACAAACCAACACAAAAAAGACAAGTGCATACACTTGTTCCTTAATTAACTGGCTCATTCAAGCAATACTGATTGAATGAGCATCGATTCTGTGAATCATGACTTCTGCCCTCGGGTGGCTTATGGCCTAGCAAGGGAGAGACAAACAACTATATACAAAATGGCATAATATGTGACCACATTGGAGGTGCATGGTTCAGACATCAGGGTGGCATTCCATTGGAAATGGCATTAAAGCTGAGACCTGATAAATTGGAAATAACAAGACAAATGGGGGAAGAAGCAAGAAAGCAAAAACTCAGAGGCAAGGATGAACAGGATAGCAGTGTTGAGGAACAAAGAGTAATTTGACCTGGTTTTAGAGTGGGAGAGGGGAAAGTGTTGAGAGAAGATGCTAGAAAGGTACATAAGCCCAGGGCTCATAGGGCCTCTTAAACCAAGTGTAGACTCTATTCTAAGATCAATGGGAAACCAGAGGATTTTAAGCAGAGAAGCAACACCATGAAGTTTGCCATTTGGAAAGATCATGGAGACTGCTGTTTGGAGTACGGATTGGAGGGGCAAGAGTAAAAAGATAGAAGGCCAGTTAAGAACCTCAAACTCAGGTACATGGCTATGACTGTGGACATGGGAGCAGTCCCACGCAGGTGAAACAATGAGGGAAGGAGCCATATCACCGAGTCCAAGGACCTTCCCAACTTCTGCCCTCCTCCCAAAGGAACCCCAAGTTCTTCGCTGGGACTCACAGAGTGAGCACATCATGTTCTCTAACTCGACTTCACCTTGCAAAGTAGGACTTCTGCTTCTGACCATGAAGAATAACCAGTGCCAGACTTGCCCCGTGCTGTCTACCGCTAGAAAACAGGTCAGCAGGTAGCACAGACTGTGACCCTCCAGAGAAGAAAAACTAATGAGGAGAGCCCGATGACCACTCAGACTTTCTGCCCAGAGGCACTTTCCAGACCCTGGCCCAGGAGGGGACCCTAAGCAGGGCACTGTCACCTTGTTGAGTGGAGGCACAGAGGTTTGAGTTCAGGAGACAGAGGCTGCCAGACTTTTCAGAAACCGAGAGCTGAAAAAGGAGGATGCTCTGCAGAGCGAGAGATCCAGGAATCTGTACAGGGATTCCCTGGAGCCTCTGACTGAATACCCTGTGGACATGCACAGGGAGGACACCAAGAGCCAGGCACAGAACCGTAAGGCACCGTCGGTGAGAGGTATTGACTTTCCCACCAACCAGAGTGAAGAGACCTCATTGAACAGGCCTAGGAAGGAGCAGGCCTGACAGGCCAGCACAGAGTCAAGGCTGCTGAACCTGTCCTGACAAAGATACAGACCTGTACCATCTAATGTGCTGGCCACCAGCCACATGAGGCTATTGAACCTTTGAAATGTGGCTAAACTGAGATGTGCTTGTGAGTATAAATAAAATACAATCCAGATGTTGAAGACTTTAGTGTAAAAAAAAATGCAAACGATCTCATTAATGGTTTTATACTGATTACATGTTGAAATGATACTTTGGGCATAACGGGTTAAATAAAATATATTATTAAAATTAAATTTTTAAAAAGAGATAGTCCAGTGGTCACCAAGTAACCACAATGGAAAGTATGCAGGAAAGAATATTTCAAAATCCCTATTGAGCTTTTTTATGAATAAAACCTACCTTTTGAAATATTTACTTTCTTATCCACATTTCCAGTGCCTTACACATAATGCTGTCATAATAAATCCTCACATGATAAATAATAATGTGGTTTTGGGGAAGGTTTTTTTGGCAGTAATGGCCTATGAAGGAAATTATTAGGAGTTTAAAAGGTAAATACTCCCTGAGAGATGAAAGAAAGCATTGAAGACTCCTGAACAGGTTACAGTTAGCCGTGGTTAGAGAAATGGAAACAAACAAACAAAAAAAAACAAGGTCTTAACAAAAACCAGAAATACCAAAAAATGATTTTAATTAAACATTTTTATCTACATTTTACATTTCTGAACATAAGGGGGAAAATTTTCCTTCAGTGGAAGCTGTTTAGGTATTTTGAGATATCTGTTTCAGTTTATAACTATCTTCAGTTTACATCTATACAAATATAAATACTATTTATTAAAATTCACATTAACTTACATTTTTAAAGTGTCTAAATGTAGAAGTGAGGAAGTGGCAGTGGGGAGAGGGGCTTGTTTGTCTAAGATGCTGCAAGAAATAACAAGTCCTAAAACCTGGGTGTAAGCTGAATTTGTAGCAAGAGAATAAATGGGAGTCATTGAACATTTTGTGTGGGACAGGGCAAGATAAGAAACTACCTCATTAACTTTGGTGGGCAACATGGGTCTGTGATTACCACAGAGCTACCTCTTATGAGAACAGTGAATCTCTCCAAACCAGGCTAGACGTTTCTAAGAGCAGCATAGCTTACAGTGGCTCATCGTGTTTCATAGATAGTGCTTCCAGGTTTGGGAGTGTAGAGGCTCTCAAGACACACATCAAGAAAAAAAACAAAGAGGTGATGATTCTCTAGGAATACTTCCTGATGGAACTGTTTTGGCACCTGAGAAAGTGGTCGATTATTGTGATGCAGTACGCTGGCATACAAATATAAAATTTCAAGCATAACTGAGTTGGCATTTTCTATGTGAATCCAAAATTGAAATCTTTCACAATGAAATGCCAATAATCTATGTAAACATCTTTGAAGTAGAACCTTATTTAAATTCTGCATTCAGAGGTATACACAAGCTTTCCCTGAATATGCTGAGTTTCAAACAAAGTTGACAAATACTATTGCAAAATCGCTAGAATCATCCTCCAGGAACTGGGGAGGTTAGAGGCAAAGTTGCTTTTTTCAGTGATTATGACACTGCATCAAGAGGTCATAGCTTATGTTGATGGATGGGGTCAGCCTGTAGGTAGACCTTTGTATTCTTGTACAGTAATTATATTCACATCTACAGAATCATACCTATGAATAAAACCTACCTTTTGAAATATTTACTTTCTTATCCACATTTCCAGTGCCTTACACATAATGCTGTCATAATAAATCCTCACATGATAAATAATAATGTGGTTTTGAGGAAGGTTTTTTTTAGGGCAGTAATGGCCTATGAAGGAAATCATTAGGAGTTTAAAAGGTAAATACTCCCTGAGAGATGAAAGAAAGCATTGAAGACTCCTGAACAGGTTACAGTTAGCCATGGTTAGAGAAATGGAAACAAACAAACAAAAAAATAAGGTCTTAACAAAAAAGGATAACCAGAAATACCAAAAAATGATTTTAACTTTAATTTTTTTAAATCTAATAAAGTATTAGATACTAGAACGTGACCCCAATGTTTTGTCTTTGCAAACACACCTATGTGCACACTTAACATGCCACTGCATTTATTCTTAATCAGGCATGTCTAGATTTTAAATAGTCTTGAAGACAGAATAATGAGGTCCTTGAAACACATAAATATATAGCCCTGCAAGTATAATAAATGTAAAAAGGAAAACATGCTCAGTAAAAAGTTAAGCAATATTTGAGCCCTCACCTAACTTACCTAATTTTTCTATCTACTGTCTGTGCTCAAAACTGAGTTAGTTGTTTTTTACTTTAGACCAACCTTTGGCTTTCATTTTCATTTGTGATGTTAGTATTTTCACGTTTACTATTAATGTCATTTCGGACTATATCTTTAATTTTATCTGCATGAGCACAAAGTTTGATTTTTTTGAGACCTGTAATCAAAGTGGTAAATGCGTCTTTCTTCCCGTGAACTTGATACCAATTACGGAGCAGCTGGACCTTCTGTTCAGCTGTATTTTGGAGATTGTCATTCTTGATTTCATCTATTTTGGCTTCTTTGAGACCATTCTTCCGAACGAAATCTGTAACTTCACTTTTTGTCATTAGCTCAGCAATAGTGCTAATGTAATCAGTCAAGTCAATGTCTGAAAAAAAGAGAATAGTCTCTGAAAATTGGTTCTGGTAAACAAAATTGCCATGACTGGAAACCATTTATTTCTCCTCTTATAGTACTTAAGAATACAGGTTAGTCCTAGAGATCTAAAGAGCTGATAGGGAAACGTAAAAACAGAAATAACCTTGCCTTCTAATCCCAAGACGTCCTATATCCCCAGTAATTTGCTCTATGACCTGAACAAGATACATAACATCTCTATGTCTTCTTTTCTCATCTATCAACAGGTTGGAAAAGGTCACCCCTAAGGTCCCCTATGGGTCTGATGTTCAATGACCTACAAACCTAATAGATAGGCAAAGGGTTTATGATCATCTTATCTCTGAATCACAGCTCAAAAAAGAGAACTGAATAGAATAATAATTTGTTGTTATAGAGCTGGTACACACCAATAATAACTGAGTCTACAATTTAAATTAACCTCTAAGTCAATTTAGGCAGAAGTTCTATAATACACCTAAATGTTTGTAAAAGGAAAATTTTCCAAAGCCTCAGAATATAGTGTTTTATTGCTACCTCATTTATTTTTAACTAGGAATATTAGTTATAAATTTAAACAAACTGCCTAAAAATCCCTGGATGGTGAATGGGAAGAACTATAAGTTCAAGGAATAGCGAGACCCCACAATATGTCACTGAAATTAGCAACATTATCTTACTCTAAAATTGGCCTGCTACTCCTATGGAAGCCAGCTCGATGAAATAAAATGATAAAAGCCTTACCTGGAGAAATCCCTGTGGGCATTTCCTGGACAGAAAAAAAACAACACATGGACAGAAAGAGAAAAAAATAAAAATACACTTAGAATAGTCTAAATGTAATCTTTAAATTTTTTCTTAATACTGAAGGAAGTACAACCAGTTGCTTGATATATAAAATTAACTAGATGAAGTGATTAAGGATTCTTTCATCATTAAAATTTTTATTCTGAAAGGTTCCAGCATTTCCAGAAACTAAAGAATATTGGCTTATTTTTTACACATTCAAGGAACATGGAATGTACTGAGGTTATGTTTCATATAGACTCACGAAAACAAACATAATAAACATAATCATTCAAAAACTCTTTTTATAGTAACTATTCTTTTTTAAAATATATATTTCTTTATTGATTTCAGAGAGGAAGGGAGAAGGAGAGAGATAGAAACATCAATGATGAGAGAGAATCATTGATCAGCTGCCTCCTGCACGCCCCCTACTGGGGATCAAGCCCGCAACCCAGGCATGTGCCCTTGGCTGGAATCAAACCTGGGACCCTTCAGTCCGCAGGCTGACGCTCTATCCACTGAGCCAAGCCGGCTAGGGCACGGTAACTATTCTTCCTTTTGACATGAGAAAATGGTTTAAATTGAAATTATTTTGTACTATATTGATTTTAAAAACTATAACTCCACCTGAGCCCTAGCCCTAAATGAGAAAAAGCATTATTCATGAAGTGAACTGGTTTATCTTCCCTGTGTAACTTCTGCTATTTGAAATGCTTTGATTCCATGTTGGAAAAGAAATATAGTGGGGGCTATGGTAACGAGTGGCTGGAGAAAGTTGAGCTGTGCCCTATCTATAGTGGGCTGTAGAGCTTTGTCTGTTCGGGCTTGGATACCGAATCCATGCTCTGGTAAAGGATGTCTGTAGTTTCTCTGCACGAATAACACCGACGTGGGACATGTTGCTTGGCCACATCCTTTTTCCAACTCACCTTGAGCAGCCTCCCACTTAAGTCCTGTGTTAACTCTTACGTTGTACGGAGCTTACTTATACACTGTGCCTCCTATCTGAATTACTTTTTGATGCCTTCTAACCCATGCACACACAGACACAATAAATGCTTGTGTTAAAAAAGTGGCGAATAAAAAGTTGAATTACTACCTTCTCTATGTTTTTAAGAAAGCTGATGCATGTTTCAACACTTACAGTATCTGGAGATGTAGGTTCAGAGAGAGGGAGATTATTATTCTGGCGCCATCTTTTCACCGCTAAAAGATGAAAGAAATTTCTATCAGACTCAGGTCTCAGCCTTGGAGGAAATACTACTGTCACACTAGAGAAGTGTGAGAAAAAGCAGAAATTCATTGAAATGTAAAGTGACCCTAAAATACACAATTGTCCTCCTGATTTTGGACAATCTCACCCCACCAGGTCAAGTGTTCTGGAGATATGCCACATATTTTAAAATATATATTTTTATTGATTTCAGAGAGGAAGGGGGAGAGAGAGAGAGAGAGAGAGAGAGAGAGAGAGAGAGAGAGAGAGAGAATCATCGATCAGCTGCCTCCTGCACTCCCCTCATTGCAGATCGAGCCCACAACCCAGGCATGTGCACTGACTGGAAATCAATCATGACCTCCTGGTTTATAGGTTGAGGCTTAACCACTGAGCCATGCCTGCGGGCAGTATGCCACACCTTAATTGAGACATCCAATTACTTCACAGTGGCCTAGCCTAAAGCTGGCTTTTGACTTATTGAGTGATATCACTATTTCCTCTCATCAACCTGGAGCTACATGTCATGGCTACAGCAGGGCATATAAGCACAGGATATGGAAAGCTGACGTCAGCTTGCCATGGAGTGGCATTTAATGCCCAGAAATTCAAGTACATGCACTCACAAATAACTCAAGTATACACACTCAATGAATGTCTGCCTTGAAGTCAGTATGAGATGGGAGAAAGGAATGTGTAAGTCTGCAAGCATGGTTATGGTATTTAAACATAGAATACTGTATGTATTTTTAGCTGAGCAACCTCTTTACCTTCAGCTAAAATGAAGAAACAGAGCCTATTCCAATTGGATGCTTCAGAGTGATTGAAAACTGCATCACCCTGTGTTTTAGAAATGATTAAAAGGGATTTTTCTAGTGTAATTATGATTACCCTCAATTTGGGCTTATTTGGCTTATCTGCTGATTTCCTAGGTAACCCTTGCATAAAATGTATTGCACAATATTTTAAATTATGATGGAGAAATAATAAAATCATGGAGTTTGAGCAAGGGTGAGGAGGCGCAGAGAGGGACGAATTTACCAAGTCTCCCCTGCAATGCCTTTCCCAGCAAGGCCCTTGCTTCTTAATGTGTTATCTTAATGCACAGGACCATCTCAATGGACGGTGAAAGATTACTTTTGATTCTTGGCAAACTTGCTGCTGCCAGGATGAAAACACAGTGAGGATGGGAATAGCCACTCAGTGCTCCAAAATTATTGCTCAAAAACTGTAGCTGAGGGATAATATAAATAGAATCTATTCTTTCAGTGTTCATGTGTGCATTTGGTGGCAGGAATTAAAAATATACCAGGGCTAGCTACCTACCTGGTGGAAGCTTTCTTATAGGTTGGAGACAGAGGGGAATTCTTTGAACAAGTCCTTTCCAAGTTATTTCAATGTGCAACTTGAACAAAGTAAGAACTTACGCCACAATATGAATGCAGCTGCTACTGGAACCAGGAACAGGAACCACAGCCAGTGTAAGTGAGATCTGGATCCTGTAGGTTGGAACATTGGACATTTTACATGAAAATGAGCAGTCTTTAAGATTGAACAAGGTACTCTCAAAGAATCAAAAGGGATGGGCTTTTCTTCAGATTTTACCGTGGGAATAGGAGAAAGGAGAGTCTACTCATTAAAAAAAGTAATAACCTGTATTACATCTGTGGTAATTGGCTGGTGTGCAATCCTCAGTGATTCCATGTTCACACCTAAAAAAATACAGAGAAATGGCAAAAAGCCTGGTGGGCTAATTCCTTGATCATTTTCAACAACACACTATACATCTTAGGTTATTGTAGTCATTTTTGCATCTCTGGCAAACATATTCCCTCAACTATTTCTAGATTAGCATGGTAGAGCTGGTAAAAATCTGTAACATAATTTGGATGTTTGGATGAACAAAGAATGACTATGTTTTAAAATACCCAGAGGTAAAAGAAGGTAATAAAGTATTGGCAGAAAAGAAAAAGAATGAAATAGATCCTGACATAAACTTAAAATTGGTCATAAGCTGTGCTCTTAAAAGATTAGGAGACAATGATAAACTACCAAAGGCAATTTCAAAGCAGTCCCATCGAACAATAAAAATGGCCAGACAACAGCTACTACCCATGATGCTCCTGAGGCAGCCTACTCCGCTGGGCCTTAGAGGGTTCGCTCTTTAACACCAAGTGGCCATTAGGATACTCAAGAGGTTTCCTTATTTTTTTTTTCAGACAAACACTGATCCAGTCTGAATTAAAGGTGGGCTCTGTCCATTACCTAACTCGGTGAGTTTGAGCAAGTTACTTAACCACCGCATTTAAAACTGGGCTCTGTCCATTACCTAACTCGGTGAGTTTGAGCAAGTTACTTAACCACCGCATTTAAAACTGCTATTGTTGTTATTATTTGACTTACATTAGTCCCTCCCTCCAACTCCAATCCCTACTTCTGTCATCATGAGGGCTGTCTCAGATACTTGGGGCTAGAAAGGAGAGGCTAGGTTAAGTGCACATACCTTAAATTTTTTCTAGTAAATAAGAGACATCAAGTATAATGTTCCTACTTTTCAAGCCTACTAGGTGAACTCCTAAGTGACTCCTAAGATGATTACAAGTTTAAGGAGCGGTACATTGATATAATCTTAATGATATTTATATGTATGCAAAACAGTGTCTTACAAAGTAAAAGCTATTTTTATAATACATATTACCCAATCTGATCTTCACAAATATGTGACCTAAAGACAAGTGACGATTGTCTCCATCTTAATGTGAGGAAACCGAGGCTCAAAGAGGTTAAGTGGTCTGCTTAAACTTACTCTGTTAATCAGAAGAAAAGTTTAGTCCTAGCCAGTTTAGCTCAGTGGAGCGTCGGCCAGTGGACCAAAAGGTCCCAGGTTCCATTCCGTCAAGAGCATGTACCTTGGTTGCAGGTTCCTCCCCAGCCCAGGCCCTGGTCGGGGCACATGCAGGAGGCAACCAATTGATGTGTTTCTCTCACATCAGTATTTCTCTCTGTCCTTTCCTCCCTCTTCCACTCTCCTTAAAAATCAATGGAAAAATATCCTTGGGTAGGGATTAACAGAAAGAGGAGGAGAAGGTGAAGGAGGAGGAGGAGGAGGAGGAGGAGGAGAAAAGTGACATGCACAGTCAGGTTTTCTAACTGTGGGTCAAAACCAAGCTCTTTAGCATGAAAGACAAGACCCTTCATGATCTGGCCCTGGCTCCTTTTCAGTCTTTCCTACACTCCAGCCAGGTACGCTGTTCTCTGGAGCTTCCCCTGTCTCTCTGCACCTGCTGGTCCCCTGCTTGAACTGTCCTTCAGATCCATGCTCACCTTCCTTCAAGACTCAAGCCATGTGTCATATCTTCACTGCATCTCCCCCAGCAAGGTTGAAAAGTTCTAAATAACTCATAACACACTAGGCACGAGTTTCTTCTGATGCTTGCCACATGGTGTTGATTCAATAACCACACCTTTTTTTTAATGTCCTTGCCTCTAGCCTGAGAGCTTCGATGCCAGAAATGTGTCTTGCTCATATGGTTAGCTTAAGTGGCTAGAACTGGCCAGCCCAGAGGAGGTTCAATACATGTTTGGAGCCTGGATGTCTGAATAAACAAATGGTTATCCAGTTGTTTGGAGGCAAAGCAAGACTAGAACCCAGTGCTGCTTCCCCCTAGGAAGACATTATCTCTCAAGGTATATCTAGTGTTTTAATCAGTAAAAGAACAAAACTTACGTGCTGCAAGGGTTACAGTGTTCGCATGGAGGAGTGTTACAAAAATAGTTTGATTTACATCTGCACTTGGTATTCTGGGTCTTGGTACAGTTTTTTTCCACTTCTAAGCCTAGAAATTCAATTTGTAGACAATTAGTTATAGCAGCTACTTATACACTGGCTATGGAAATGATGGGCAGGAGCAGCATTGATTTTTGAGATCTGCTGCTTATATGAGCAGTCACACCATCATGACGTTAGGAATACAACTAGTGTTTACACACAAAACAGGCAACCCCAGGTTGAAATGGTTGAAATCATTTAGCAGAGTGTTAAATGGATAGACAATCCAGCAACCAAGAAAACCCCTACCTTTGCTTAAATAGCTCCCCTGTTCTTCTAGTCTAAAGCCTGGCTACTCGAAGTGTGGCTTGTGGACCAACAGCATCAGCATCACCTGGTAGCTTGTTGGAAATGCAAATTGTCAAGCCTCACCCCGACCTGGGCAAGCAGACCAATGCCAAAGCCTGCCCTTAGAGATTCTGATTTAATTGGTCTAAGGTGGGACCTAAACATTGGCATTTCTCATAGCTCCCTATGTGATTCTAATGTACAGCCAGGGTTGAGAAACATTGCTTTAGGGCTCTAAAGGAGACAAGAAAAACTTATGTCCAGAGATTTCTTAATGTCAAGCAAAACTGGGAGTACTTCTGTTACATTTTAATCTGGGCCCTCAAAATAGATTGGGCTAGTCATGAAAATCCAGGCGTCCAACTGGAATTATCAGGACAAACTAGATCCCCAAAGAAGGTGAAGCATCCCACCCACCTCTCAGGATCTTCTGTCCTTGCATTTGAAGGTTTCTGAGCGCCCTCTGGCCATGAACAAGAGCCATTGCACATGCATTAATCAAGGCAGGAAAAAAAGTTTCTGCATTTTTGATTGGAGTTAATGAACTCTGTTCATAGGGTTCATATTTAGTCTGTCTCCTCATCTGGGAGACTGCCCAGACTTGGCTCATAAGCGTCTAGCCCAGTGATTAGTTCAGTCCCTGACCCTGCTTTACCCCAGTCAGCCCCATCCTACCCCTTCCTGTATACCAACATAGCACCAGAGTAGGTCCCAAATTCCAATTATAGGTATATTATGAATGATTCTACATGGAGCATCACAATTAGTCACTTCCAATGGTTTTTTAAGACTCGTACCATGCTCTCCATCACAAATCCCGCATCTTCTGCATGTAGGAGAATAATGTTCCTTGTCTGTGTACTCCTTCCCTTCCGAGCAGGGCTCACAGACAAGTTTGTCCCCATCAGCTTTGCAGTCATCCTTTTTCCGTTCACCTGCCAAAACAAGAGACAGAAAAGTGGAGCAAGTACTTGAATGCAACAGCTTGGAAAGTATGCAGGTACGGCAGCAAAACACTGCTAAGACAGGGAAATTTGGCTAATGATCTATAGACAATAGAGGAGATGCTTATTGTAAAAATCATGTCAAGAGACAGAAAGTCTCCCAAGACAAAAGCTGAAAGAGTGATGCAGGATGATTAACAATAGTAACATGTGACAGAAAACGGAGTGGGGAGGGGGAGGCTGGAATGACCAAATGCACCAGAAAATAAAAAAGCCCTTATTAACTTTTTGGTGGGGGGAGAGGTTGCTAGGAGATGGCTGCTGCTGGCCACGGAAATGACCTAAAGCATTCACTTTTTTCTGGCTTCTCATTTCACTTTCCAAAGTCCACAGATGCGGATAAGAGTACATGTAAGGAAAAGCACATTTGAGGTTCTAAAGACTTTGGTGAAATCTTTAGTAGCCCCGTGAGCTTTAACAAGATGCTTCATCTCTCTGAGCCTACATTTCTTCACGCATAAGACGGAGATAATACCTTGCATTGCTACCAGAACTGCACAGGGCCTGCCTAGTAAATGCTCACAGTCCCTCTTCTTTCTATTCCTTTGCCATTACGGGTCAGAGTAAGTTGTGGTGGGCAGGGATGAACATATTTATAATAAAATTTATCATCAGATTTGTTATCTTAATGCACACAATTTCAAATGATATTCCCATTTGCTTTCATTGACTTGAACAATAAAACAAGTCATCTTATTGCTGTGAGTAAGCATTATACAACAATGCCTTTTCATAGAAAATATATTTATTTAACAAGTGTTTATTAAAGGCTCTTGTGTTCCAGGCACTACCTAGGAGCTGGAGGTACTACAGGAAATAAACAAAGCCTTGGTCTCCAAGACTCACATTCTCAGGGTAAAAGCAGGCAACACACAAATAAATATATGGCATCAAGTGGTGATAAATGCTATGGGGAAAACTAGATGAGGGCAAAAAAAGATAGAGAACGAAAAAGAAAGTGTCAGAAAATATAAAGGGGAATGTACGAGGAAGCATGACTAGTGACTCCAATTACTGATGGTATAAATAATTAAGAAGAACAAGAAAAGTCTAATCTGCCCTACGCACATGTATAGCAAACATAATTGATGGTGTCTTTCCTAGGCATATGACTTTCTCAACAACCTCGTATCATTCTTTTGACAAAGCAAAATGCTTACTACATAAACAAATTAATGTAAACATATGACATTTTCGTAAACAAGGACACTATTCTGTCAATAGAAAAAAACCTGGAAACCTGGAATTGAATTCCAATACGGTGCACTGGGGCTTTATAATGCTGTGGCAATACTTGAAAGAAAACCAAGCCAAAGTACATGTTATTTGCTTGCCAGTGGCATTATCCTAGTTTCTAAATGAATTGTCCTCTTTGATGAACAACCCTGCAGAATGTGCCTAGCACAATGCCTACAACATGTCAGGGAGAGAATAAATCACAGGTTTCTTTCTTTCCTCCAATGTACACAACCTAAATTTATCAAAATATAAAAATGAGTAGCTGTTTTCTTGAAAATAATACATTTTTCTTCTGAGTATAATTGTACATATGCTCATTGTAGAAAGTTTGGAAAAGGCAGGAAAGTACAAATAGCACCAATATATTAATTAGCCTGAGATAACCATTTTTATCATTTTGGTGCACTCTTATAATACCAATGTATACGTATATACATGTGTGTATATGTATATGTAATATGTATATCATATCTGTATATGATATAGTACACTGTAAAATTCTTATTGGATATGGTATGTGGCAAGGACTTTTATGATAGAAAATCACTAAAAAAATAATGTTTGTTTTTGTTAATCTTCACCTGAATCCTCCCAAATCCTTTTTGCCATGGACATTTTTTTTTAGAGAGTGGAAGGGAGAGGGAGAGACAGAGAGAGCGAGAAACAGTGATGTGAGAGAGACACACTGATTGGTTGCTTCCTTCATGTGCCCCAACCAGGGCCAGGGATCAAACCTGCAACCAGAATGCCCTTGACCAGCATCAAACCTGAGAAAATTTAAAGACACCAATAATCTGTATGAGAAGCTTTCAAGATTTTTATAATTTTATAATTTTTCCATTGATTTTGCCCTCACCTAAGTCATCAACTCAGTTTAGCAGCTCACCTTTACTGAAGTTCTCCAAAGCATTCAAAGTAGTTTTCACAGAACTAAAATCTGTCTTCTCTTTGTATTCATATACCATTGATTATATAATATTTAATAAAATCATATTTACATCACAGATTTGGAAGCAATTTGAATACTAATAAAGCCTAAAATTCAACAGGAGGGACTAGAAGTGGGTGGAGGGTTCAGCGTGTGTTGGATGCCATCCAGGACATTTTAGAAATGGAGCAGAGAGAACCAGTTAATTCAGCCAGCAGATCAGTTAGAAATCCCTGAAGGAAACACTTTCAACAATAAAGAATTTTAAAAAAGAAGAAGAAAGAAATCCCTTAAGGGAATTTGTGTACATTGAGGAATATATTAGAAATATATCAGAAACCAAGACTTTGATTGACCATAATATTCTAGCTTTTGACTACTCCAAAATTTACTTAATTCCAGATCATTGAGTATCATAATGAAATGTCACACATACGGAATTTTCTTTATTTTGACCATTTTCTTAAAACATTTTCCTACAAATTGATTTCTGTATCAGTGGGTAAAAAGGTCTTTAAGTTTTTGACCCACGTACTCCAATTAAAAAGAAATAATGGTATATAAACATTCTTAGCTCATAAGCAAACTCACCAGGGCTGAAATCACTCCTTAAATGAATGTGAAAAACAAAGCAAGACCAAACAAAAGCAAGAAGACCAAAATCCTTGACAATTTGACATTCAAAGCATATTACCTTTGTTTTTATTTGCATTTTAAAAATATGAAATATTTATATATGCACCCCTATGTTCATAGCACCACAATTTACAATAGCTAAGATTTGGAAACAGCCTAAGTGCCCATCAGCAGATGAGTGGATTAAAAAACTGTGGTACATCTACACAATGGAATACTATGCTGCTGTAAAAAGGAAGGAACTCCTACCATTTGCAACAGCATGGATGGAGCTGGAGAACATTATGCTAAGTGAAGTAAGTCAGTCAGAGAAAGATAAATATCACATGATCTCACTCATTTGTGGATTATAATGAACAACATAAACTGATGAACAAAAACAGATTCAGAGATAGAGAAGCATCGATTAGGTGCTCAAACCTCAGAGGGAAGGTAGGGGAGGGTGGGGTTAGGGTAAGAGATCAACCAAAGGACTTGTATGCATATAAGCCTAACCAATGGACACAGACAACAGAGGGTGAGGATGAGGGCATGATTGGGGGGGCAATGAGGGGATAAGGACACATAATAATCAATAATAAAATAAAAAAGAAAAAGAAATGAAAGATTTAAATCCACAGGACAAGTTGATATGTTTAGCAAATTATCAAAAGTCAAGAGGCACTCTTTTTTTCCCATTTGGAGAAGAGTAAATGGCCTTAAGTGTAAAGGGTTAAGTTATAAGGGAGATCTTCTATAGCATTATTAATGCCTGGAGAGAAAGCCAGGGAAGACTTATAGAATCCTATCTTATAAAGAGGGAATATGCTAATTGACCCTCACATCATCACAAAGATGGTGGCACCCACAGCCAATTAAGAGGGGAATATGCTAATTGACTGCCATGCCCTCAAAGATGGTGGTGCCCACAGCCACAAGATGGCTGGCAGGGGAGGGCAGTTGTGGCAATCAGGCCAGTGGGGAAGGCAGTTGGGGGTGACCAGGCCTGCGGGGGAGGGCAGTTGGGGGGGACCAGGCCTGCAGGGGAGGGCAGTTAGGGGAGACCAGGCCTGCAGGGGAGGGCAGTTAGGTGTGACCGGGCCGGCAGGGGAGGGAAGTTGAGGGGGACTGGGCTGGCAGGGGAGGGCAATTAGGAGCGACCAGGCCGGCAGGGGAGGGCAGTTGGGGGCAACCGGGCCGGCAGGGGAGCAGTTAGGTGTCGATTAGGCTGGCAGGGGAGCAGTTAAGAGGCTATCAGGCTGGCAGGCAGAAGCAGTTAGGGGCAATCAGGCAGGCAGGCAGATGAGTGGTTGGGAGCCAGCAGTCCCAGATTGTGGGATCGGACCTAAACTGGCAGTCGGACATCCCCCGAGGGGTTCCAGATTGGAGAGGGTGCAGGCTGGGCAGAGGGACACCCCCTCCCAGTTCACAAATTTTGTGCACCGGGCCTCTAGTCTTATAAACGGCTTGAGTGCTGGGATTCTGGGAGGCCAACCATGAAACCCTACACAATCCTTTATGATTCTGCTAATCTGTCACATATGTCCATGTGTTGTTTTCCTTTATCTTCCTGTCTTACTTCACAAAGCAGCAAGAAGAGATTCATATCTGTATGAAATAGTCGTCAGTTTACTCCATGTTGAAAAATGGCTTGCACAATTGCATTCTGCTTAGCTTCCAATTTGCTGGTGTTTGAAGGATTTCCGATCTGAAACTAGTTTGTATTTCAAAATACTGATGTTTAAAAACCGTTGGTTTTTGTCTGTTGCTTTTCTAGCTTGGCTAGTTATTAGGCTGCAAAATGCAAATGCTGTTTGCAGGCTTCAGTGTCTCTAGTTGTGCAGAAGTACTGAAATACTTGCTTTCAGATTGCCACGATTATTATGAAATATACTAATCCGTTCTGAAATGATGAGCTTTAATACCCACAAATGAGTCTTCTTTTGCTAGTGAAAAATGCAGCTAAATAGATAAATCCTCTCATTTCAGAGGTACATAGCATTTATAAATTATACCTATTTATATTCACATCCAACAAGTGATAAAGATGAATTAAACGTGTCTTTTTTTTCTTTTAATCCTCACCCGAGGATATTTTTCCATTGATTTTTAGAGAGAGTGGAAGAGAGAGGGAAAGACAGAGAGAAATATCGATGTGAGAGAAACAATTGATTGGTTGCCTCCTGCACGAGAGCCCAGGTCTGGGCCAGGGAGGAACCTGAAACCACGGTACATGCCCTTGACCGGAATCGAACCCAGGACCCTTTGGTTTGCAGGCTGACGCTCTAACCACTGAGCCAAACCGGCTAGGGCTAAACATGTCTTGGTAAAATAATTTCCTAGTTGGTTTTTGTTCTTAGTAATGCAATTATATAGGAGAACCAAGTGCTGTAAAAACATTTTCTTCATCATTACGATATGCTATTCATCACCCTGATTCTCACTCTAATTGCTGCATGTGTGTGTGACATACCAGGAAGACATGGCCGACAGCAGAAACTGCCGTGACGCTGTTGGCCTTCCGGGCAGCCGGACTCTCTTTTGGTAATGTTCTTACTCAATTTCAACAGCTCAGAGTAGGTATTAGTCACTTGGGCATTATCAGCTTTAGTCGATGATTCAGCGCAAATGGCAAGTATCTGCAAAAGAAAAGCATGAAGAGAATTTTACTGGCTTCTGATCTAAAGAACTTGGTAAGCAAGGATAAACTGCCCCAAATGGCTGTATTTGCCGCCATACACAGGCAAAATCAGTGTGGGCCTCCACCCTCCTGTTGTGTTGACCCATCTCCAAAAAAGGAGCAGGTCCATTGAAGGACAGTTCAGATGTCGGTTCTCCAATCTGCCCTAGAAACAGCATCATGAATGGGCTCTGGGCTCAAAAGTAAACACTGGCTCCCACTTACTAGCCTGGTGACTTTAAGTGAAGTCACTTAAGTTCTCTGAGTCTTTGTGTTTTTTTATTTACAAAGTGCAAATAATCTCCTCTTCATGGGTTTGTTAATTGAATAAAATAATGCACTTAAAGGTCTTTGCACAATTCTTGGCTCAAAATAAATAAATAGTCAATAAGCAGTATGATTGTGAATTATTATTGCTACCATTATTATAAAGTTCCACTGAGGGGCAGCATAGTGAAGTAGGAAAAACCATGACATTTCAAAATGACTGCTGTTTGAATCCCAGCTCTGCCACCAACATGTGACTTTAGGCAAGTTTTATAACCTCACAGGTCCTCAATTTCCTGATCTGTACTTCCTGTCTTGAAGGGTTAAGGGTTATTGTGAAGGTAAAAAGTGCTACTTTCTTCCAAGCCTGGCATGTAGCTTATAGCATGTTCTATTTCTTCCCCTTTTATACATTGTCATAGAATCAACAGTTTTGATGAATCCTTCTGGTTATCAAATCATACAATAAATCTAACAGAATTTTCTTCACCTTTGTTCAGAAAAAAAGGAACTTCACTTAATAGAGAACCAATCTTTAATTTATTTTTGGCTCCTGTCTTCTGGAGATAAAAGTTGCATCCAAGTGATGTTGTATCAAATTTATCTGTTATAGACTAGAGTTCCTAGAAAAATGTTTGGGCCCTGGGCAGGTGGCTCAGCTGGTTGAAACATCATCCTGTACACCAAAAAAGGTTGTGGGTTCGATCCCCAGTCAGGGCACATATGGGAGGCAACTAATCAATGTTTCTCACATTGATGTTTCTCCCTCTTCTCCTCCCCTCACTCCCTCTCTCTCTAAAATCAAGAAACATATTCTCAGGTGAGGATTTAAAAAATGTTTGGAAACACTTGGGGGTACTGTTTTTCCCCCAGGTTTCCTACTATTTATTTATTTTTATTTCTCTAAACATGAATTCAAATAATCTCTCATCTTATGTGTAAAATGTACATTCTATTGCCAAGCATCAAAAAATTTAAACTATTAGTTCTGGGGATTTTTTTCTCATGGTCATTTTTCATAGTTTTCATGGCATATATATTTTTTGTATTTTATGATATAGCGATAATACTGACATCTTCTGAGTCATGAGAACTAAATGTGCTACACAGATCAATCACTGCCACAGGAATCCCTATCTCTTCCCTTTTAGCCCTCCCCCCTGTGGTCACCAAGCCTGTATCCCCTTCAGGTCACAGGATACCATGGGACCTCCAAAGAAGGAAGAAGGAAGATATGGCTTTCCACTTTTCTTCCTCAGATGAATGTATTTAAAAATGCATTACTAATATCTAGTCTTCCAGGAGGGAAAATAATACCAAAATAGCAAGAAAATATCTGACTTGTTCAAGGTCACTCGTTAGCAAAAGATAAAGAGCTAGGACTTGTCTAAGTCTCTTAACGCCTATTACATGTTGTTTCCCTTCCACCCAAGAGGAGGTGAACTTACCAGAGAATACAGCTTACTTTCTATATGAGAACAACTCTATCTAGAGAACAACTAAGACACAGATCAGAGGAATTATGTCTGAATATGCTGTCTTTACTATCTAGCTACTGAGTCTTCAATCCAACAGACATTTCTTGAGTCAGGTTCTGGGACTAAAAACATTGATTGTAATAAAAAGTGAATGTTTAGTTTCCAGAAGCAGATTTGCACATGAGCATGTGATATATAATAGATTGATAACTTGGGGATGTTTTACCCTTAATATTTGCATGACTCTTACTTTTTAAAACACATTTGAATCTATGATCTTTTCATACAGCTTTGAATAAAAAAATGTATTAGCATCAATTTATCTTTTCAGGACAGTTCCCTACTTCTTACTTTCTCTACAAGTCATCCTGCCTTCCTGTTAATATCAATTCTTCTTCTAGATCAGAGAATTTACAGCTAATAAATAGCAATTGAATTGGGCACTATAGAAAATAATAATGCAATTGAAAGCATACCAAAATGTTTAATGGAAAGGGCTTTCACAAGAAATCTTTCAAATTTTTACGATCCTTATTCCATTATTACCTCATTGTTCTATGTGATAGCCTGGAATTAAATATACTAACCATTTAACATTCCAGATATTGCCAGCACATGAAAGCATCCAGAGTTGATACCCAATTGTGTGTGTGTGTCCAATGGCTAGAGGACCCTATCCCTCTTGGTATGCTAATTTTACCTAATATTCATGAGGCTATATTATGACCAGGCCCACAATCCTTGGTTTAAATGATCAAATGCTCAGGGACACAGCACATTTTATATTTATGGAGTGTTGCATTAGTGCTATTTCTGGAAAACTGCATATACTCAGCTTTCTGGAACTGTCTAGAAGAAACTACCTAATTCATTTTGTTTTAGCTTTCAAGTTCTTGATTGGAAATCAAAATCTACTGTGCAAAGTACATTCAGAATTGGAGCAATGTGCAATCTGAAGTAGAGCACTGAAGAGACACAAATATCCTGGCCATGAAGCACCGATACCAACCTCACTCATATTTATTTGCTCACACCTGCTTCACAGAGTTGAATCTCTGGAAACATTTCTTTAGTTCAGCATCAAAAAATTATGTCAAGAATGAAAAAGAAAGCTAGGTTTGAAGAGTATGTTGTGACTGCTGCATGATGAGATGTAAGCAGGGCTCCATATAGCTTGTATTTTTAAAAAGTTTTTGCATTTAGCTCAAGATTGCAGTATGCAAAGATGTAACCCAAACTTTCCAGGCAGAAGCTGAGGCATTTTGACTGTGACAAGGCAGGAAACCCACAAAGAAGTAAATAAGCTGAGTGCTCAAAAATTTTTTAATCAGAAAAATCTTTTAAAAAGGTGTAAAAATAAGTTAAATCAAACTCTGAAATGTGAATAAACTAAAGCAAGTAATGAACAAATGGGGGGAAAAGAGGAATCGAAATAATTTTAAATCTCTGTCAAAACAAAGATTAAAAATCAGAGAAAACTCAATTGTATATTCTTCTGGGAATAATAATATTAGCTATTCCATTAATCAATGAATAATTAAGCAAATACTTTGTTGAATACCTACTAAGTGCCAGACAGATACCTTGGAGTACGGCAGCAAACAGATAAAGATTCTACTCTCAAAGAGTTTACAGGTAAGTGGTCTACTTCTAACCAAAGCCCAGAAGGGAGTTTATTCAAGACAATCATTGTGCTCAGATACTGCAGGAAAATGCTGTGTTCACCAAGGAATATAGCGATCATGGAGAGGGTTCAGTGCTGGAAGGTCAGGGGTTAAGAAAATAGAAAGAAGGAGGAACAGAGGGAACATTTCAATAATAAAGAAATGTTTCAGCAGAAAATTATTTTAACACAACAAAATGTTGAGTGTTTATTTCTAGTTGGCAAGACTATGAGTGAGTTGTTGTGGTTGTGGGTGTGTATGTGTGTGTGTGTTTTTGCTTTAACACATGTTTTTCTATACGAGACAAGTGTTAGTTGTATAATAAAAAATAAAATAAAAAGGGACAACTGTAGAGGTAGCAGGATTGCGTTAAACTTAAAGATACTTGATTTATCATTTGTGCTATTCTTTTTTAATAAGATTAGACAATCTGAATAATAACAGTAGTGAATCTATAACAGCAGCCTAGTATTTTGAAGGTGGAAAATATTCTAAATTATTTGCATTTAATTATTAGCACTTTATCCTTCATATAAATTTTCTATCTTTTGCTGTTTTAGGTTTCAATAGTAGTCCTATAATTTTACTAAATCCAACATCATAACCATTCACCTTTAATCGGATATATTTCCTTAAACGAGTGTTATTATCCAGTAAAATAAAATAAAATTATTAGTCATTTAAAAATGCATGTTAATAAAGTGACTTAAAAGTTAGATATCTCAAATTGAAAGTGGACATTTTAACTCCTCGTGGGGAACTTCCAACAGAATGATGAGAGTAGGTGGATGACGGGGTTCCAGGGAAAAGAGTCCCCCTCTACCTACCATGCAAACTCTCTTTCAAAATTCAGCTAAGAGGTAACAGAAGGCAAGGGTTACTTGTGAGGATGGTAGAAAGAGAAAGTGAGATTTTTTTTTTTAAAGTGTTGTGCTGGGTGGTTTGGCTCAGTGGATAAAGCGTCGGCCTGTGGGCTGAGGGGTCCCAGGTTCGATTCCAGTCGGGGGCACATGCTGGGGTTGTGGGCTCGACCTCCAGTGGGGGGCATGCAGGAAGCAGCCGATCAGTGGTTCTTTCTCATCATTGATGTGTCTATCTCTCTTTCCCTCTCACTTCCTCTCTGAAATCAATAAAATATATATTTTTTAAAAAAGTGTTGACACCAGCAGTCTCTAGCTAATTCCTAAGATGTTAGTCATATAACCTGAAAATTGGTATTTCACTTTATTTACCACTTTAGAGCAGAAAGGGTTTTAGAGATGACCCAATTCAAGCCCCTCAGAGGAAGCTGCGCCCCCAAACTCGTGTAGAGATTGGTCCACGGCATACTGCTACCTCAAGAGAGTCAGGACTCTTATGGCCTGAATCACATCTACCCCACCTCTAAATTCTTAGGTTGAAGTCCTAACCCCCTGTACCCCCAGGTATCACCATATTTAGAGATAAGGTCTTTAAAGAGATAATTAAGTTAAAAGTGAGGTCTGTAGAGTATGCCCTAACTCATAGGAACTAGTGTCCCTATAAGGAAGAAGAGGAAATTTGGCCATGGA